CCCCCTTAGGGAAAGCAGACAGACAGCTGTGAAAGAAAAAACATAGCCTACTCTGTTCAGTGTTAACGTATGTTTCCAGTTTCATGAAATATCAATATCTGCTAGTGCTGTAAGGTTATACACAAGAAGAAAACAAACATATGTCAAATATATCTGTCGTATGAAATAAAACTGGACAGAAATTTCATTCTTAACTTTCATCTTGTCAAAAATTTTGGTTAACCCACATTCATGAAATTTTAAATGCCATGCCTGTGTGTGACAAGCAGTAAATGATGAATACTTGTGGTGTACAGGGCACAAACAGCACCAGCACTCACTGCCATCCTCAGATATAAGCTTTAAGACTTTATGACTGAATCAAACAAAGATCTCCGTGAAGCATGCACAGTGGGTGGTAGTGCAGACAGTGCCTACAAGTTGCATGCTACAGTGTTCGATGTGGTTTAGCTGATGGGAAAGGGTCAGCATGGCACAACTGGAAGTATCACTGCATTTACGCAAGTCTTGGCTTTTATACTTCAACACCGATGTTTCAAACTGTGGTGTCACGCTTCCCTGACCTTTGCACCTGCCCTAAAACCCATGTGAGGGAATGCTACAGTGATACAGCCTCTGAAGTATGGATTGTAAAAGGATTTTTGTTCCAGAATAAAAGGACCCTCAATGATTAACTGCTGGATGGTGATAGGCCACTTCTCTGTGGTGTGGGTGTGATCATTAATAGTATGCTAAACCCTGGGCTCAGTCCAGTCCCACGCTGTCAGGAGAAGTTGAATCATGTTCACACAGCTCTTTTCCATTACCCCAGCGTCTGGAGAGGAAGAACAATGGCTTTTCAGTCACAATCTTTTTTCTCATTCATTCATGCCCAGCCTTCTGTATCTGTCTCAGTAGCGCTGTATCATTAGCTCTCTGCAAACAATAAGTTTGGTCTTGTCAAGACTAGAAGGCAGAGACTAGAAGAAATTAGCAGCGTTTCATCTCCAAACACTTCTATTTTTGCAGTCATGATAGAAATGTCTGGAGTTCTCTCATTAACCTTATCACTCCGAACTAAACTGCATATATCAGATCCAGCTGCTGTGATAATTACCTATCATGTGTTGAAGAAAATCCGTTTGTATCAGTTAGGGCATCCTGTCATCCGTCAGACAAAGTGCAAACGTTCAGAAAGCGATAGTGGAGCAGAAGTGTAATTTTGCAGCTGTGACATGACCAAAAGGTCATTACCACACGACTGCCAGTCTGCTCACACCATCGTTTTCAGTGTTCATTTTGTGATTTTAAATTGGTGCAGGCCACTGTTCTAAAACAATGGAAAGTTAGTTTTTGTATTTGTACTTATTCTCAAAACCAGACAGACATAATACACAAATTTTTATATTAGGTGTGACTTACACTTTCCAGTTGTGTCACTACTCTCTATGTCCATTGTGAATAACTGTCCACAAACTCACTTAGAAATCATCAAAGAAACAGACACTGCTTATTAATCCAGCACTTCCCTGAGAATCTTGATTTTGTTTTCTTCACTATCAAATTCATATACAATAATAGTTGACTATACACCTACAGACACACTGCAAACACAAACTTCTCATAGCTAATTCAGCATCCTTCAGAGGTATCCATTTGCCAAAAATGTAAGCAAATATGGGCTCAAGGTGTAGGCTACAGTACGTATTACACTTCCTGTTTACATCCCCCAAAGCATTATGGAACATTTAGCTCCTAAAATTGGATCATGAGTTCAGTACCCATCTAATATAAGAAAGTCAAAGAATAATACTGAGAGTACCAACATCTATTAATATCAGCCTTTCTGACATCACTGAGGCTCAGACTTTATTGGGTGAGTGGGGGGCGGGGGGCACTGTCAGTCTGGTCAGATTTAGTGGATATTTCATTTTGAAGGCTGCTGCTGCAGTGGGGAAAGTAAAACAAGCTGGAGTTACAGACTCAAACTCATATTTCTGACCTGTCAACGCATTTTGTAGCAAATGATTGTGACCATAGGGCATTCGCTGGCATATTTCAGTGCACAGCGCAGGGTCAGCTTCAATGTGCCATGACAGCAGACGAAGACTCCACAAGCCACAGTCCAGTGAAGATGAAGCTTTGTGAAGAGCTGTGTGAAATTCCAGATGACATGAAGAAGCCAAGGCCTTGAACAGCTCAGAAATCCACCTCAGGCATAAATCCTCAAATCCTGTCCACTGCTTGGCTAAGTTATAAATTTGTCTTAGCTGACACCCCATTTAGTTTTAATTTTGAACATGAAAGCTCTAACACTACAGGTGCAAGAAAAAGTAATGGCACTGTTGGCAGTTTCCTGATTTTCTGCATCAATTGGTCATGAAATGTGACCTGATCTTCACCAAATAACAAACACAATACTTCTAAGCTAATAAAACAAACAGCTGCATAATAAATACTTTTGATACTCAGTGATGGAAGAAGTACATAAAACCATTACTTAGATATAGTAGCAATACTAGAGGTAAAGATGCTCTTGTAGTACGTCGCACGTCGTACATTTAGTAAAATGGCCCATTTATATTTGACCTGTAAAATAACTAGCAGTTTTTGTTATTATACTTCACTTTCTTTAGACAGTTTTGATATTTTTTGTACATACTAATATACATTTTAAATTCTTTAATTATTTATACTTACAAAACCTCAGGAAGTGCAATTTCAAGTACTGTATGAACTGCACTGTAAAAGTACACATGTACAGTTAAGGTCCTTGTACTGTATCCTTCAATCCTTGAAGTTGAGTACATTTTATCATTTGTAGACCCAGTGGTGAAAAGTGAACAGGGTTTTAAATACAACACAGAATACTGGCAGTTGAGTTAAGTTGTTAAGGCAGGGCACACAGGTGCACGTAAAGTGACTGACAGATAAATAATGGCAGCTACTAAAACAGGCAAACTGGAATACAGGAAGGTATGATGGCAGGTTATGAGGCAGGGGACAGGAGCACTGCTAAAGGCATTCTCAGGAGCGAAACACGACGCATACAGATAGGAGTGGCTAGCAGCAAACTCGGACTTATCACAATGTCGAGGTAAGGATTCACTCATAGCTAATTAATAACATCAAGCAGGTAGGGGAAACAACAAACATCAAACATAGTGTAAGTGAATCCAGCAGTTCAAACGAGGAGGCAAGTAAAGTCAAAGATCAATTAAACAGGACAGGCACGGGGGAGATAAATGCTCGAGAGCCACAAAAGACATTTCTTTGCTGACAATCTGGCAAGGAGTGAATGCTGGCTGCTGGTTAAAATACTTGATTACACTGACAGAAGAGAGGAGAGTGTGGGTGGAGTGAACAATAACAAGGGGCTAGGTCTAAAATAGCAGGGAAACACGGTGCGGAGACGGGACAGACTGGGATCAGGACGGCAATATGAAATGTAGTGGAGTAGAAGGATAAAGCATCATGAAATTGAAACACTCAAGTTAAGTTCATGTAGGCTACCTCAGAATTGTCCTTACGTGGAGTACATGAGTAAATATATTTAATTTAATACTGCTACTTTTGAGCACAGCAAAATACATTTTCCTGAAAATACTTTCATGGGTTTGTTTGCATAATAATTTGAACACTTTTACTTGTAATGGATTGTTTTCTACAGTCATTTTCTACACTAATAAAATTTTCAACACTCCCCATACAGAGACTGAAACCAGCAATGAACTGCCTCTACTCGTGGTTAATGTCTGTCAGTCTCCAACCTGGATTCGTCTGGTGATGGTGATGTTCAATACTAATGAAAAACACATGAGTGAAACACACCGCTGCACTCGGTCTCATATTTCTTCATTACAAAACACAAGACCTAAATATTTGTTAGCCTTTTTATGGAAATTGTTGAAAATACTATTAACATAGAAAATGACCATCCTTATCCTTTAACTAAGGAATCTGAATTCACTACTGTCAACACCCACAAGTTTTCCAATTTTCCCTTAAAATCATTTCAGGTATTCTCTAGGAGCCAAACCCTTAGGAAACGTAAGCCCACCTGTAGGTTTCAGCTCGTCGATGCTCACACCAGTGAGAAGAGGTTGAGGAAAGTAAATATCAGAGAAGAGCAAGCTCACTGTGCCTCAAAGGAGCTTCTTGCTACCTCTGGAGTGTTTTGTGCAGGCAGGAGTTCAGGGATGCTCTCAGAGGCCACCGGCAGTGTGTGAATTACTGTAGATAAATCTGAGGCTGTGTGGGAAAGAACACAAAAGCAAAACTTAGGGAAATGAACTGTAAAAGTGTGGAAACATTCTCAGTACCAGCTTCTGAAATGTCATTACTTTAAATGAAGAATGGAGTCACTCTGAATGTCCCCAATGCAAAAGCCAGAGATACAGTACTGTATGTTTTCTGCATTTGTTCTTTTGTTCTCTTGGTGCCCGTGAATCCTTGCAGAGCACTTGTCAGCATTCTTGGTGCGTCTCCAGGTTGTTGTATGCTGCTTGTTCCCCAGGAAACATTTTAACAATATAGGAAAATGAACGCCTGTCTCCCTTTATCTGCTTTGTGGGGAAAATCCCAGAGGAAGGCTTTTGACATCTTCCCACAATTTCTTAAAAAAATCTATTTCAAATAGTGTAGAGTATATTGTTTTATCATTTGTAAATCAACAGTAGACTTACTTTTTCCTTTTGAGTGAGAGTCATAGAAATGATTTGCACCATATTCATATCGGGAGTTTGTTTACATTACTGTGTTTCTAAGTTGCTTTGCTGACCTGAAGACTAGTGGAGGTTACTTTAATATTTATGAAGCACATCTCTCTGTATACTTAATTCACTGTTCTAGAGTTTTCTATAAAACCCAGTGGTGAAGCACCAGAGCATTTGAAAAATCATGCCCTAATAGACTGTCTCTCTCTCTCTCTCTCTCTCTCTCTCTCTCTCACCCTCGTAATCACCATCTGTTTGTCCATATTGTATTATCCTCTGTTCCTGGTGCCCGCTGCTCGCCACCAGACGCTACTTTTGGCCTCCTGCTCGGTGTGTTTGTGGTCTGTGGCCTGGCCTTGCTGGGCCTTCTTACATTCATCGCCTGGAAGCTGTGCTTGGTGCCTTGGCGAACAAAAGCCCAGTTCCCCAGTCCATCCCTCACCCCGGCCTGCAGCCCAGAGCACAGCCCACTCCAGCCGTCTGTCCTGCTGCCCAGTCCTAAGCAGCCACCGGTCACCATGGCGACAGAGAAGGTGAAAGACCCCATGGGGCCAATGGGATTCCTGGAGGCGGCAGTGAAGATAAGCCATACATCTCCCGACATCCCCGCCGATGTGCAGCTCTCCATGAGGGAGCACTTCCTGCGCCGCACGCAACGCATGCAGCGACAAACCACTGAGCCAACTTCCTCAACTCGGTTAGTCACATACATGCATGTATATAATATGTACGTAAGAGTATGTAATGTGGTTATCCATGTGAAAATATATATACAACCATGCATGCATGTACACAGAATCTAAAGCACAAGATAAAGCACTACAGAAGCTAATCCAGCTTGAAATAAAGGAATAAAATGTAAATCAGAAAGAGCCTCACAACAGCACACAGTATTTTCAGAGAAATAACCTTAATATATCAATAATGAGGGCAGACATTTTCCATCTAGGCAATTATGTGTCTACAAAGTTACTTATAACAAGGAGCATACAGTAGATCATTTTGCTCTCTGTCTCCAAGAGATCTCTTTGTATGTCATTATGGTAAAGCAAATTATAGGTAATGCTTCTTTGTGAGAATTAATGGAACACAGTGAAGAAAGAAAAACATTTGTTGTAGCAATATGAGCTGAACTGTACGTTTTCAGCATGTTAATAAGTGATCGTCAATAATCCATTGTACTTTTTGCTGCAGGCAGGTTTAAAAGTACATCTACCTATTTGTCCTCTTAACTAAAGCAGCAAAAATCCATTTTTTGGGCCATATTCAGTTGTCCCTGGGACCGCTGTGCTTTTTGTTGTTCTTATCTTATACATATAGTGTCAAGTTTCATCTTGACAGGACCTCTACCCTTATATTTCACCTTTGATTGTGTTTTCCTGTTCCCCACATAAAAGATGAGACAATCCAAGTATCCCAGTCATATTGTAGGACTGAGAATTGCATGAGAACATAGGCTAGATTTCTGAGGCAACATGAATTTTTCAAAACAGCATAAATACAGGCCACAGGCTGGTAGTAATTTCCTCTCACACAGGAAATAACTCTGCTGGTCGCTGGCTGTTGTCTTTGTGTGCTCAGTTGTAACTTTAATGGAATATGTGAGGTGACACAATCAGGCGCCCTTTGTCAAAAATAGTTCTTTGAGGTCACCTTGGTGTGTTGGAGCCCTTAAATTCAAATTTCCCCAGTTTCCCAGCTCATTGTACTGCAGCTCCTCAACACAAACCACAGCTATTCCCTATCACTCTCTTTCTTCCTGTCTTTTATGTCGCTGCAGGCACAATTCATTCAAGAGGCACCTACCCAGGCAGATGCAGGTAGGCAGTCTAGACCTGGGAAATGACTATGTGGCGGACAAAGACGAGAAGCCCACTAGCATTGGTCGCATCCAGCCAGAGCTCTACCAACAGAAGACCTTGGAATCAGAGGATTCATCTAAGAATGGCAGCAGCAAATACTGTGGCAGGATTAACTTCTCTCTCAAGTACGACTATGAAAATGAGGCCCTCCTAGTCAACATCCTCTCGGCAGTAGACCTGCCTGCCAAAGACTTATGTGGCACATCTGACCCTTATGTGAAGATTTACCTGCTGCCTGACCGCAAGAAGTTCCAGACTCGCGTCCACCGGAAAACCCTCAACCCTACATTCAGTGAGAGTTTTCAGTTTCCTGTGCCTTACGATGAGCTGGCAGTCAGGAAGCTCCACATGAGCGTCTTTGACTTTGATCGGTTTTCAAGGCATGATATGATCGGGGAGGTGGTGCTGGAGAATTTGTTTGAGACGTCAGATCTCACCAGAGAGACAAACATATGGAGGGACATCCAATATGCCACCAGTGTAAGAACCTAATCTTTTTCTGTGTCCTCTAGATTCAGTATCACCAGAATGCACAGACATGTGTATCCTATATGACCTTTATGTCCCAGACAGAGTGTAGAGAGTTGAATCTACTGCATTCATATCATTATATTGTTGTTATAGCTACCCCTGAGGATACTGCAGACATGTCCTCTGGAGACAGTCTGGAAATATCACAAGTGCAGTTTTAGACTACTTTCAAAGCTGATTCCAGTGCTTTTATACTTAATGAGCTCATTTTTGTGGCAGCATGATGACTACTGCAGTACATGCTCTGACAGGTTGGTATTTTTGTGACCTTGAAAATCACTTTGCACGTCCATGTAGTATTTCAGTGTAAACAGTGAACAGGTGGGAGGTTCACTGACATGAGGTAGCACAGACTCAGTTAATGGTATTTTGGTGTAAATCAGATATTTAGACGCTGTGATAAGAACAGACGTCTCACAGCCACATCTGTTTTTGGTGCTAAGTAACTGTCTTACAGGAATGACTGGCTCAGTAGTGGTGTCTAGGTTGCAGTCTCTAACATAAAGCCTGTCCTTGAGTATGTGAAAGAAATGTAAATACAGAATGTGTAGACCATAAATGGTTGATATCTGGTCTCTGCCACTGTTGCTCAGCACGAGGAGACACTGATGTCAGCCCAGCAGGAAGTGAGAAGCGTTGAGACAGACGTCTGTTCACAGACTTCACTTCATTAATGACTATAGAATGGAAATACTGGCAAGGATGGGTCTTACCTGGAGTCAGTGTCAGTGGTCCGACGGGTGGCCAGCTCAAGCAATGTTTGTCTTCTTTGACTTCTTGTTCAGGTTTTCAATGGAAAGTGGAGATGAGAGCTTCACAGACCTTTTTCATAGAAGAAAAGGCACAGGTGTAATTGATAGCATTAAAAACAACTGCCCTGGTATTGTTCATATTGGCTCACCGTCATGGCTCAGTGGACAATTTAATGAACGGAGCCAGTGTTAATGGAATTGTTTCACTTGTGCTTTCACTGTCAAGTTTCACTGTCAAAATGTTCTGTCATAAAGAAGATGTATAATCAATAATGTCATCAACAAGAGCAAACTGAATACCAGAACAGATGCACAGCAATAACATAATAATGCCTTAAATGCATTTAATTTGAATTAAACACATTATACCAACTAGATGCATTTCAGTCAGTATCAAATGTTGAAATATAATGTGGCTAAACCAGGGACGTCAGGGAGGCAGCCTGATTTTATTTATAACTTAATATGGGTGATTCTTACAGCATCTGTTGCCCATAGCTCTTCTGTTGTGTATGAAAAGTCAGTTCTGCAGCCTTCGATTTAGAAAGTGCCACATTATGTCATTTACAAGGTGTGATACGGTACAATTATGACTGAAATGGCAGCGAATGGATGTAATCATATAAACGGTTTCATCAAAAATCCGTTTTCATTGATTACATCTAATGTTTAATTGTGATAACCATAATAATATGATAAATACAGTAAATAAATTTGTAACCACTAGAAATACACAGAAAATATAATTTAACATTGAACTGAGAAACAGAAATACAATCAATAAGAAAACATTTGCAGGATAAGGAGTAAGGGTAAAGTAAATGATCGATTGTCATGTCCAGTGCTTATTTTTGGCTGTTTTTTACAGTAATGACAGATCATGGGAATGTCGAATAGTTCTAAACATTAGCAACAGCACCACAGACTTACACTGACTATCTTCCAAAGTAAGAAACTAAAATCTATAGCAATAATTCTAGTTGTGACATTTTAAGTTAGCAACATGTCAAAACATGTTTGACAACCTTTTAGACTGTCTGTCTCAAATGCTAGGCCTCTGTAATAATTATGTACCTAGCTAACTAGCTAAATTAGCTGAGCTACCTACAACAACAGTACAAAATTAGTTTATAAGGCTGTACAAGTCATTTAAAGTAGTAATTGCTGACAAAATCCTGCTGTTCCTTGAAGAAAACAATGAATCTGAATTGAGTGTTTGGAACTATTTGAAGCTCCATGACTCACATGACCTGCTGCCTCTTGTGACCCCTCAGTCTCACAACTCCTCTACCCTAACAGCTCCAGGGCCAGGTGTGTAGTAAGGTGTGTGTTGAAGGGCTTAAAATCTTGGCTATAGCCCTGCAAAGTAAGAAAAATAAAAAATCATTAGAAATACATCAAACAGCAAATGCATTATTAAGAACCAGATATGTAGCTCAGTTATTTATCTACAAAAACATAACTGTCACTTAGTGAAATACATAAAGAAACTAGCCGCAGTCACAAGGTGCTAACACCTCCATCATAAATATATTTCTCTCTCCCAGCTCAATTATGCAGTTATTTTTCTGTTGGCTTTATTACTTGTTGATGTCCAGGGGCCACTTTAAATGTTTCTTGACTCTGGCACGATGTTAATCACCTTATAGCCCTCATCACTTTGTCACCTCCTCAGTGCTCTTGCAGCTGACAGTTTCCCTCTTCAGTGTTTGACCCTGAGTTTCTTCGAGGATTGTTCAGTAATCTCAGTGCTACTGCTTAGGAAGCAGAAAAGCAGGCGATCTTCTCCTTGGCACACAAACTGTATTGAACCACCAAATGATTTTACGACTAAATCCCTTGCTCACATTTGGTTTAAGATTGGCAAAGAATGCACAGATGGTGGGATTTCAGTAGAAACAAAAAACAATCATGAAGAGCAATAATCAAAGTCATGGGTAAGATAAAGACACTGCTTTAAAAACACTGTACAGCTTAATGAGTGTAAGAGAGGACAGTGTTCAACAGAGGGAAGAAGAACAGCCAGCAGCTTTCCTCATAAATCAAGGAGAAATATTTATCAATAACACCAACGTGCAAGCAATACAAAGATCAAGAGTCTGCAGGAGTAGAGACTATTTCTCGTGTGTGTGTTGGATCTGAACAAACAGTTTGTTCATTAAACAGTTTGGGGAAGGTTTTAACAAGTTAATAAATGGCATGAAAGAAGAAGATTATCTGACTAAAAACCATGAGGAAATCATTCTTGGTAATGAGGCATAGCATATAATAAATGAAGCAATCTAAATGTAAACATAGGAAATGACTAATATGTAAACAGTATCAGACAAGTTTCAACAAGGTTCATCTGTGTGACCTTGGCATAGCAGAGCGTACAGCTAAATGCTAACATTAGCATGCTCACATGCATAAAATATCATTGCAGAAATTAGGACATAGGCAGCACGGTGGTGCAGTGGTTAGCACCGTCCCCTCACAGGGGGAAGGTTCTGGGTTTGGGCCCCACCTGGGACCTTTCTGTGTGGCTTCCTCCCACAGTCCAAAGACATGCAGCTTAGGTTGATTGGCCTCTCTAAATTGCCCATAGGAGTGCATGTGTGTGGTTGTTTGTCTATGTGTTAGCCCTGCAATGGATTGACGACCTGTCCAGGGTGTACCCTGCCTTTGCCCGATTACCGGCCGGGATTTGGCTCTGCCCCCCCTACCGTGACCCTGTTCAGAGATTAAGCGGTAGAAAATGAATGAAATTAGGACATTTACCCGGATAATTTGTACCATGTTTATCATCTTAGTTTAGTATGTTAGCATGCTAATAGTTGCTAATTGTAAAGATAAAGTAAGGCTACATTTTGTAGGCATTTTTTGGACAATAACCTTTTATAATAATACAAATGAACAGGCTACCTAAGGAAAAATTGGAATTCTGACCTGATGGTGGTGCTAGGTGAAAAGTCAGGAGGTCAGCCAAAGAGTGAAACGAATATCTCTACCAACTCCTTTGTGGAGAAGACATCTGCACTCTCCAAGTTTGATGGTATATAAGTAACTTTGTTATAAGTAACTTTGTAGACACATAATTGCCTAGATGGAAAATGTCTGCCCTCATTATTGATATATTAAGATTACAACAATTAATTTAAAAATGCAACGATTGGATGATATTAACCACAATTAAAAGTAAATAAATATGGATCAGAATAATTTTTAGGGCTGCAAATACAAAAACAGCCAAGGAAGGATTATTTGTTATAATAAGACAAGTTTCTTTAATTTGATTTTAGGTTTTTCACCAGCAATTATAACTGGAAGTGAAAAGTGTGCATTAGGTTATGGGACTTTGCACATATCAGATTATGTCATTAATTACTCGCGGCAGTTTGGCAAAACTCCAAAAGTCAAACTACATTCAGTAAGAAAAGCTGGAGCCACACTGTTAATGTAGTGCAGGTGACACTGACTGGCACCAAAACAGCCTGTGTTTGTACAAGGACAGTCAAAGTGTCACTTTATGCTTTTACAACACTTGACATTTCTGCTGTCCTCTCACATTATGGCTGAACCTTACACTGCTCAAATGAAGTCTCTCACTTCGACAGCAGGGAAAGCCATATCACAGCTGTGCAGTGTTTGTGAAGAAGACTGCAGCACTCCGAGAGATACTGAGATTTACCAATCAGCGAGGCTCTCGTCAAGCTCATTCAGAGTGATTAGGGGCCTGTTCAACCTTAATACATTTGTAGGATGGGGCTAAGAACTCACATGGGACAGATAACAGAACTCTCATTCCACTTGAGACTATTAGCCCAGTAGGAGCTCATAAAGGACTGTCTGATTACATTGAGAGCTAATATTTTACAAGCTAGACAAGTTGTACTTGGAATGTTTTCTCTCAAGAAATTTAAGATATAAAAGAAATTCTTCTATGAGTAATCTTGGTGATATAAGCCACTGAGGCTTATTCACTCATTAAGTGGGTTGGTTTAAAGCACTGAGATGTAGATTTCATCCTCTCTTTTTCTTTTACTTGACTGTATCATTACCACTTGAGTGGTAATGATAATTAGGAAACAATCACAAATTATGCTTTTTGATAGTATAAAGAAAACTGCAATGAGAATAATAAAGTCTGCATTTGACAAATGTATGAAGTAGTTAAGTAATTTCTAAATTAGACCAAACTGTTTCAGTGAGATGCTGACAGCTGGTTAACCTCCTGGAGCTGAAGAACAGTCTAATTGCTCATTTTACCTTTCTCAGTTTATTAGCTGTAACACCTGTAACTTTACATTTCTTTACCCTGTCCACCTATTTGACACACATCAAAATTAAAGTTCCGAGGACATGTTCTGTTTCAAAGACATTACAGCTATAGAGAATTATGAATAAAAAATGGCAGTGTGTATATTTTTGTTTTGTACTGAGATTCCTAAATACACCAAGTAAGATTTGTTATGTTAACCTGTAACACTTTCTCTCTAATAAAGAGGAGCGATCCCTTAAGTTGTTCCTTAGAACTTGAGGAATAGATGGACAGTTTGGGAAATACGGTTGTTCGATTTCTTGCCAAAGGTTAGATGTGAAGATTAAGCTCACGTCTGTGCATTAATCATGGGACGAAAGCCAGGAGGTGATTAGATCAGCATAAAGCCTGAAAGCAGGTTGCAACTAACTGGACTTTGTAAAAAACATAATTGCATAGCAGATCTTCTAAAGTTCACTAATTAACATCGTATCTCATTTCTTTAATCACTGCACAAATATAGAGAAAGAGAAATAAAGTAAAAGGAAAATAAAGAGAAATTAGCCTCATTCGCCAGTAGAACATTCTGGCACCTGAATCAGTCCATTTTGGTGAAACAGGGTTAAACACAAGTCTAAACTCCTGGTGAAGTCACATATGGGTGTGTCACGTAATTTTTATAATTATGGTTTCTACCAGCACTGGCACATATTGGGTGAGGTCAGATGCATCCGGGTGCAACATGGAAGAGAGGCTGAATGCGTTGTTAGTGGGAGGACTGCATTATGAGCAGCTGGAGTCAGGGCTGGCTTTAGTTATGGCCAAACAAACGAGCCCTTCAAAAGTGCTGCGGAAACGTGACTTTCATTGATATCATGATGGCTGATATGGACAGGGTCCATCAGAGAAGGTTGTCTATGAGGTGCAGCATGGGTGACCCTATCTGTCTTCTTCTCCTACCAATTAATTACTCCATTTCTTAATTGTTATGACAAAAATATTTATTATTGCAAATAAATATTCACTCAGTAGACTGCTGATATGATTTACCAGCTCTGACTCTGGTCCTGTAACCAGTAGCAATCACAGTGTAATTTACTCACAGCTGCATCCTGTAAGGACAGATGGTGCATCGTGACGTGATTCCACCCTGTTTGTCCATTTTCATATCTGCAGCCACATATGGACTACTTTATTTTATTTGAACATAATCTATCTAAATTATAACATAGTTCATAATTCAGGTATGTCAGAATAAATTATTCACAGTGAACTGTAAAAGTTAGCACAAAAATTGTTTAAATCAACCTAAATAATCTTGAGCAGGGTGAAAGACAGAGTATGAGTGTTTTTTTAGAAATTCCACCACTGTAAAATTTAAGCACACATGGCCACTGAAATAGAAAGTTCAGTTTCTTTAGACGTAAGCTACTGAAGACCACTGCATAAAGAGAAGGAGGGGGTGGGGGAGTTGGGATATGGGCACACGTTTTCAGGCATTATCATCAGGAGACATTAATATAATTGTTAATAGCAGCGTCACCGATTGTTGTGTCAGGAAAGAAAAAGAAGATGTGCAACCAGCTAGACAAGGTGTGAAGTAGATGTGGATGTCAGATCATTGGCTTGGAAAATGACTGAAAAAACAAAAAAAACCCATCACACAGCTGTTTTGCACATGCAGGCAGGGGCAAACACATGCTTACATTCTGAGTTTCTTTTTTCTTTTCAAACTCGGCTGAAAATCTGCGGTATTGTCGGAATTCTGTGGGAGCACGTCCCGTTTGGGTCTGCAGATCGGTTGTGGATTTAGCAGTTTAAATTGGTGTGGCCATTAAAATACATTTGAGTACCTGATCTCATGCTTCCCAGCCTAGACTGTTGTCAGGAAAATTGCAAAGCACCTGCATTTATGATAAAAGTTAGTCTGGACAAGTCTTAAGGCAAAGTGCACAGCGCTGCTCGGGGCCAGGAAATGACTAAAAACTTAAGAATGTCCATATTTAAACTGCCTTTAGCAGTAAACCTACAAAGGATTAGTGTTAGCTTGTTGTCCTTTGCTGTAGCTAATTAACAACTCGAATAAGTTATTCAAACAAAATTAACATAGCCACACTGAATATGTCCTACAAAGCAGGAGATGGATATAAGAATATGTTTTATCAAGATCCAGGACTTAAATAGTGCAGGTGCAAAGTGAAGCTGCAGTTAACCAGCCATTACCCATGAGAACAAACCTTTTCATTAACATTTTCTTGTTCAGTATTCCTATTAAATACAATACTGGACATTTAATTAGTGGAGTGATGGTTTGTTGATAATCATAGCAGCTAAAGTGGATGAGTTCTATTTTGTTGTGAGCATGAACACATGCACAGCCAGAGGTAGCTTTACATGATGGGCTTGTTTCCGAATGTAATGTTTCATTTTAATAGGAACACAGGTAGTAGAGCAGAGGCAGCAGGAGACTCGGGGGGAGTTTAGTGGCACTATCCATCAGTGAAAAGGTATGAAGATTTTACTTTGTGGCTTCATTATGTGTCGTTTTATCAGCAGCAGGAAACCCTGCAGACAAGCAGTCAGTCAGGGACAGGAGACATGTCGTTTCGTTTGAGTCAGCTAAGCCATTTCTGCACTTTAATAAAGTTCCATCAATGGCCTTCACATTATAGTAGTAAATAACGTGTCACATCATTGGACTGAGAGGAATTCTGGGAAGTATCAAAGCCCTTCTACTCTGTCGATAGCCCACTAACACACCGGCTACAGAAAAGAGCCTGTATAATAACCATAAATATACATTCGCTACTTATTTTATTCTTGTTTGTTAAATAATGTTGTATGAATATTGATTTGGCATTAAACTACAGTTCAACGTGAAAAGCATCTGGTGGCAACACCTCGTCTGGGGCACCAACAGACCCAGGGTCGGCACTGGCCCTGCCTAATCAGTGCACACACGCCATCAGCTGTGCATCTCTTTCTGCCTCAGTGAACGTGCGTTCATTCATGGCATAAAAATATCAGACACAACAATGTGCAAAAACAAACTTGTGCCCAATCAAATTTACATAAAGCCGGTGTGTGAAGCTACACCAGCTCTGCACCAGCACTTCTGATGCCAATATGTATTAGCTTTAGTCCAATTTTCTCTTTTATTTAGTTTGTTTTGGTCTAGTTTTACCCTTCAGAGAAAAAGGGGCAAACAAGACATTTGTTTACTTGGACTCAGTGAGTTACATATACTGTAAGTCACAATCACCTCTGCTGCGTCAGCAGTCCAAAGTGACAAAGAAAGCCAAACATTTTTGTTTCAGAGATGACTTACTGTTGATGATCAAAATAGTTGAACTGTGAAATTGCTTCTTTTGTCCAACGAAAGAGTTGAAAGCCCAAGTACATTCAGATTAGAATGGTTTACTAACTAACTGCAGGTGGGATTCATCTGCTTTTATCGACCTGCAGCTCTGTGGAAAACCTGTTTGCATCAGACTCCAACACTTTCTGGCAGCACCGCGCACCCACTTCAATTCCCTCAGTCATGCAGTAGACATCGCACACCAAGTCTGCCTGCTCTGCTCCACTGTGTTGAATAACATACATTCCCAGAGCCATGTATTTCATTTCTCTCCTAGCACCAGGCTGCATTTAAACACTTGTGAAGCAATTTCACCTGTGCGCATATTGTATCCAGGCAAGTATTTAACTTATTGAAAAGAAGATTCTGTGGAGCCACTTGCTTAGCATCCTCTGCTAAAGCCATTGTATGGCACAGTTTATACTGGGCCTTGATCACACAGTGGACATAATGTATAACGATATTGTTCAGAGCAAAATATGACAGTTTACAGTGCTAGGCATTTTAATGTTACTTTGTGGTGCTGTTTGATTGTACGGAAATACACAGCAATGCATTACAAAGAGGTGTTTCTGTCATTTAGCCAGACCAGTGCAGCTAAAGTTTGACCTTTTGGCACAACCTGCTTCATCGGGTGCACCGTGGACATCGGTGCAGCTGCAGCCCACTAACTGACGTGGGTAAAAGGAGACTGTATTACTTGTAGTAACCAAAGGTCACCCCAAATGTGACCATGTTTTTGTAATATCATGTCGTGCTGTGTGTACAAATGGTTTGCCAGTCTGTCCTAGAAGCAACAAAGAACAGACTATGATCAAATATACCATTAAACACAGAAGCAGACCTGTAAATCACTCTGGATCAAAGCACCTGAGCTTAATGTAAATGTGAAACTGAAAGAGATTTTTTTTGTGTGTTGGTTTGTTTTCACAGGAAAGTGTCGACCTGGGAGAGATCATGTTCTCACTGTGCTACCTGCCCACTGCAGGCAGACTCACGCTTACTGTGATAAAGTGCAGGAACCTCAAGGCCATGGACATCACTGGATACTCAGGTGTGTTGTGTGTGTGCTTATGTGTGAGTCACTTACAACTGCAACAACTCAAAATGAATGGTTGCCCCTTTAAATATCCATCTGTAAGCAAGTCACATAAAGAGGACAGACAGTGGAGAAGCTCTCTACTGCTGCTGCGTTCTATTTACTTCAACAGTTATTAATATTCAACACGTGTGTTATAAAGACAATGTCAGCAAGTTGATCTGTACATTTTAGCAGACTGTCGATCCACTTTTTCATTCCGTGTTTCCATAACTGATATTACTTGTAAAATCTGACATTAAATGCCAGAGTTCAGGTGTAAATTGGAGTTAACGAGGCATTTTTTATTTCATGATTTGAATGCGATTCAGTTTTTATCCCTGAGTTTCCAAAGGTTTAGCTGACTGCCATTATTTCAGTCTGTGCCTCATAAACCAGTCGCAATCAAGCGCACTGGGTTGCAAAGCAGGCGTTCTTGTTTGTCTATAAAATTAAGGCAGCTTAAATCAGACTCAAATGTGAAATAATGGATCATATGAGGTGATTTGCCACTGATGGATGAAGAATGAAATCAGGATTCATCAGGAAGCTCTTTCAGCTGCCTGTGGCCTCTCATCATCTTTGTCTGGGTGTGGAATCATACAATCTATGCATACCTCTATTACTGGTAACAGGTTCCAGGTTATTTAAGTGGGAACCAACAAAAACACACTGGGTGATAAGCTTCACAAAGTCCAATCAAAGCAAAATTTACAAATCTTATTTTTTAATTAATCCCTGAAGCCTGTCTTCATGCTAATTTTTGCTCTGACAGGTTCCTAAATGAAGATATTTAACCACAAAGTCACTTTATCTGCTGTTTTTCCTTTTTCACTCATCACTTAGATCCCTACGTCAAAGTGTCACTCATATGTGATGGAAGACGTTTGAAAAAGAAGAAGACGAGCATAAAAAAGAACACCCTGAACCCCACCTACAACGAGGCCATCATCTTTGACATCCCACCAGACAGTATGGACCACGTCAGCCTGCACATCTCTGTCATGGACTATGATTTGTATGTACAAATCGCAGCTGAAGTGATTAGGAGAATAACTGATGATACTTGATGAATTGTTTCAATAATCTGACCACATTCTCTGGTTCCAGCTTCTTAAAAAAGAGACTTTGCTGTTTTAATTTGTTTTAAATCATTCTAAACTAAAACTATGCGTTTGATTGAGTATGGCTATGGAGAAGCTATTTTGAAGGCATAGCTTTACAAGATACCAATTAGTTCACACTGAAAGAAGTCGAACTACAGCAAAGGAGAACTCTGGTTAACTAAAGCTAGAAAAAGAAGTTCAAATTACGCTGAGAGATATTAACAATGTCAGCCAACAATGCCACTCAGTTGAGTTTATTACCTGAGACCTAAACCTGTCCTAAATAAAATCATCCCATGTGGGATTTCCACAAGGACAAAGCTGCAAAGAATGTTCTGTTGTTGTAAACAAATCTGGATTTTGTATCATCTGACTACAACTAAAGAAGTAAAGATAAAAATATTTAACTTGCACCTTTTCAAACTTTGACTGACTTGAGAGTTCTGTAACATCTGACTACAACAGTCTAAGCAATGGGCAAATCTTTTCAGAGCAGAATCTTGTGTTCATGTGACACATGAGCAGTCTCTCAAAGTTCTGAGTCAGTTTTAGTGTCACAGGGACAGTCAGCCACAGATTGACAGTGTCAGTCAACAGGACACCCAGATTCTGATTTGGGTCTCCTATGAGTACAAAATGCCCGTCTTGCAATTATAAACAACTTGATGCGTGAGTTGTCTCATCAGGTTAAGTCTGGTGTACTTACACTATATGGTATGTGTGTGCGTTTTTACAGGGTTGGTCATAATGAGATCATTGGTGTCATGCGGGTTGGGTGCAGTGCCGAGGGACTTGGCAGGGATCACTGGAATGAAATGCTGGCTTATCCACGCAAGCCTATTGCACACTGGCACCCCCTGATGGAGTCCAAGAAATCTGAGAAGGAGGTAGGTCTGGGGATGGAGTCATTTTAAGGACTATTCTGGATGTGTTCATCATTTAGGATGACGAATCAGGATATATAGTCTATTAATGAACATACTATTATCAATGGCGAGCTAGGACACTGCTGAAGGATGCTTATCTGCTTATTGTTATCAACAACATCCCAGAAAATATCCAGATATCGTTTTTTGTCAACATGGAACAACCCTACATGGCGATAGCTAACTTTCATTTGTTTTCAGAACACCTGCAGACACTTGCCCCTTTACCTCCATGCAGAATTACCACCTAAGCTCCTGATTCCTCTTCCTAAATGATGAACACATCCAGATGCTTACTAATGATATTAATGGTAACAACATTTCAATTTATTTATTTACTTAAAACTGAAGCATTCAAGTACAACAGTGCACAAACACTGAGATCACATTTACAGATTGAGTCTGCTCAAGTTTGCTGATTGTGTTTCTTTTGCCGGTGCCTTGGCTGGTTAGTCCCATTTTGGAGGACTAGTGGTTAGTTCACAGATGGTGAAACAAATTGCTGAGTTGTCTGTAGCGGCAACCGATTTCCGACACAACTTGCAGATTGTTGTGTTTTAAGCAACATCTGTCTTTTCAAAGCCAGAATTACTTCCATGAGTGAGGATGGGCCACATCTAGAAATGAAATCTAACAGCCTAGACTGAGAGGCGTGGTGTCTCCCATTGTTTTTTACTTTGCTACTACAGAGAGCACTTGAAAACAGGGGAAAGGGGAAATGGTAGGCTAAGTGGTTCCTGGTGTGGGTTTGTTTTGTCTGACCAGACCCTCTAGTTGCTGAAAAGAAATTAGGGAGATTACCTTTAATTACTGAGACTGTGTTCTGTGTTCAAGCACATTAAGTCTCTTTAGTGTTATGTTCCTCTTCTGATACCAAACTAAATGGGAAAATTAAATAAGAAAACAAGTAAGATACGTACATGTTTCCTGTGTTGAAAATGCTCCAGCACTGAGAGTATTCTAAAAAAGTAGTGAATCATTGCCTTGCGTTTGTGCATCCTGCAGTGGAAGGCGAGGACAGCCAGCTTTGACAGCCAAGGCTCCTGCCCCTCACCGAGACCTCCTGCCAGTCCCTGAGCAGAGCCACCTGTGACCCAGCAGCCCAGAAGGGGGTTTCCTCTCCCCTGTTGATCCACTTCCTGTCTGTCTGATTGAGGAGAAACACAACCTCCACCCCCACCTCTCTCTCTTATTCTGTGTCCCTTCCTTCCTTCCTCAAGTCTAGTACCAGAGCACTCTCATACCTGATCTAGGAGATCTAGGGTCACTGTTTGCAGGTTAGTTGTGTGGAGCACACAGTCTTTTCAGGTAAAAATTTTAGGGTTGCTGATTTGAAAAGCAGGTGCTTTTCAGATCCAGAGCTGCCCTGGTTTTCCTCAGAAGAGGCTGACCGGACATCCAGTCTGCAGACATTTAATATTGAGCTGTCCCGACCGAGACGAACAGATCACAGGAGACTTTTCAACCACTGAAGATTCGGATCTGCACTGTACTTTCTGATGGAGCAACTCGGTCAGATATCGCTTCCTGAAAGCCGCCAAGGTGTCACAGAGGGATGCCAAGGACATGGACAGGGTGGAGAAAGACACGATCTTAAACAGGATCTGAAGCAATTTCAAAGCTCTGCAACTCTCTTACCTTAAATTTTAATAATACTACTCTGTAGCATTTTGGAAATGCTGTTAGATGTAAAACCACCAGGCATTATTGTTTATGAATAACACAACTGACATGAATTTCAAAGCTCCAGCTCAGTTCATTGAATTCCCAGGTTCATCAATGACATCAGCAATTATTTGATCTCCATTTTATTGAAGGCAGTTTGGGATTAAACTGGAACTAAAATACTCTGATCTTGGCAGTTTTCAGCCTTGGGATGTTTGTGCAAGCACACACGACAAACAATTTTGCATAATGAAAAAGAAGAAGCAACAACAAGATTATTGGTATTCACAGGACAGCAAATCGACTGCAGTTGTATTCCTGATTTGAGTTCTACACTAAAATAATATTTCCAATATAAGAAATAGAAATTTAAAAAGCCTGACAAAGGCACAAATAGCCTATAACTTTAAAAAAAAATGGAAAAAGAAAGTGAATTTTGACAGAACAAAAAGCTGTTTGTAGAGGAAGCTCTGGTGGTTTCTGCAAACAGAGAAACTGGGAGCACACTTTACACACCCTTACCTCCTTCTTGTTTTGACATTTGCTTTTGAGCAATCTCACTTTCTTCCAAGTGAAAACTCACTCAAACGCTCATGTTTTCCATCAGACAAACAATCCTCAAAAGCATTTCTTTGCCTCTTGTTCTTTTCAGAACAGGTTCTGGCAGACAGTTATAGTTTCATGTACCGCTGTTTGTGCTCTATGTCTAGTTTTTCCAAGCAGAAAACCAGAAAAGATATGACGATTGGTACAGTTTAAAAAATAATTACTGACATTTTGAATATGTGTAGCCTTTGAGGTGGTGGCGATGATTAAGAAAATCCTAAACTCTGGTGAATATATTCCTTTTTAAACTTCTAAATTTTCCAGGCAACTTGTCATTAATCCCACTGTTGTACAGGGATAATGCGTTTGAATTAGACGGCCAGATGCTCGCCCTGCAACATGTAGCAGATGGAGCTATTTAAATATATGATCGCTGTTATATCAGTTTTCATTGCATCACTGTGTCCCCTTCTGTCATTTTCTGTATAAAAACATTTAATCAGACAAAAGATGCACAAGATCCCTGAATTACTGTTTTATAACCTACTGTATAACTGTTCACACATTAATATCTTTCAGGTAAAAATACTGATTTGATGAGAATAAAACAATCATTTGGTTTCTGTTCACCCTCTTGTAATAGTTTTGAGGAGATCAGCTAGTTTCTGAAGTAGTTTTGTGCCATAAAATGCACAAATGAATGTGCAAAAGTAATGCATGGGTGATGTTTAAGATCCCATGATGGGATCCTCCCTTTCATCCCAGAGAGTAAAATAAACTATTAGCAATTAGCATTATGCTCAGTCTGTAATTTTAATAAAGTGGTGGGTAGTTTTGGACGGACACTGGTGAGGAGTGTTTTAGATAAAACAGCTCACAAAGCTTTTGTGTGTTTAATGAAAGCTGCAGAGATTTGTTAGGCTCTTCAATCAAGGCTTAGGTGACAAGTTTTAAGAACTTGTTGACTCCTGGTGTAGAAAATGCATCACATTGTTAAATGTTTTCAGAGACAATTCTCCAGTCGGGTGCCGTTGAACTGTAGCTGTAGAAGAGGGCACAGTGCGAAGGCATGAATAACAAAGAGCCAGTCAAACATTAAAAGAACCACAACATGATGGAAATTCTGCATTCATGCTTGTTTTGTGTTAATATGAGGAGCTTTAGAGTCATAACATAACATAGACCTAATATTTCCACTTGCTGCTATGTTTCATCACCTTCTTACATTTTGCTTTTATTGACATGGCAACCCTTTCCAACACAGCCAAGCATAAAAACTTATTTTTTATTTTTTTTTGTTCCAAATTACCAGCATTTCTACACAAAACTTAGGAAATGCAAGCATGAGTGCCACCTACAAGCTCACGTCTAAACCATCTCTTTACTGGTTTCCAGAAACCAGTTTTTTGCTGCTGTACAGTGCACGCTACCGTTCAAAGGTTTGGGGCCACCACCGTTTTTCCCAAGTGCAGTGAATGACCTTAAAAGATAAGGCTGGTCTTTTTCTATATTAGCAGCCTTTACACCCCTTATACAGAGACTAAAACTAAAACCAACAGTGAATTACCTCTACTCACTGTTTGCGTCTGTCAGTCCTGGATTAGTTTAGACCTCCTCTGTTGTTCAAAAACTATTAAAGACAAATCAATGGTATTACTAAACACCAGACCTAGATATTTTTTAAAAATGTTGCTCTGGCACATGCACGACTCTTGCTTACTTGAGATGCTGTAAAACATTATGGTCGTTTGGAGCTTGTGGACAAATACGTGGGTCTGGTGTTTCACAATGAAGAAACATGTCACCCAGTGCAGCGGTGTGTGTCACTGATGTGTTGTTAATCATTTTTGAACAACAGTGGCGCTCTATGGCACAGATGAATAAATCTGACAGACATAGACAGTGAGTCGAGGCAATTCATTCTGAGTTTTAGTCTTTCTACGGGGAGTGTTGAAAATACTGTTAATATACAAAATTACTCACTTTTTCTTTTAAATGGTACAAACAGAAACAGTCAAAAACTAAAAATGTGTGTAAACCATGTTAAACACACCTTTTCTGCTGACCTCTTTTTTCTAACTGACCTCTTTTCTGCACATGAAACCTTGAAACCCGATGCAAACAATCCTACAGCGGTCCCGACTTTTGTTGATTACTTACAACACTACATTTTGTTTGTGCAAAGGTGGTTTTAGAAATGATTGTATTACTAAGAAGGGTAAAGACCACTGACAAAGGAAGTCTGACCTTTTCAGGGTTTCATTCTCTAGCAGGATAATGACCAACGGAACCACCTCCAGGCTGCATAGGGGAGAAGAGCAATGATGGACGTCCAGACTTTACAGCTGAAGAGTCAAAGCAAAGCAGCCTACAAGTGCACCGCGTTTATGTCTGCAACAGTGCTGTCTGTTCCAACAATATATGGTGGTGCACCGCGTTTATGTCTGCAACAGTGTTCCAACAATATATGGTGTCAGTGGTAGAAAGAATGTCACAGGTGTGTTTGGCTGTTGGATTATACTAATAGAGGCCGGATTAATGGAGGTGATCCCAAACCTTTGGACTGTAGTGTATATATACTGTATATATCTGCTGTCGAGTTCTCTACCCCCAATACTGTACACGTACATCCTAAATTGTTTAAAATGAGAAACCCATCTATAGCTTTTGATTAAGTTATTACATAATGTATGTACTGTGTATTTGCTACTGTATGTCTGTGATGAAATTTACTCATTAAGGTTTGTATTAACATTACTTTCTTCCTGTTTCTGTTTTAGCCTCCAGCAGCAGTAGGTTTGTGTTGTTGTAACTAGCAAGATACAGTTGTTGTTCTACATTATGACCAGGAAATGTTAAGCTACAAAGTCAATGTAATATCAGGCAGGAAAACTGTAAAGATGCATTCAGCAGGGTAGTGACTTGGTTTGTAATTTGTTTTTAATATGAGGACCATTTATTGAATAGCACCCAGTTTCTCTCAGAGGCAGCCCACGGCAGCTGATACATAACAGTCCTCCAGGCAGAGGCCCCCGCA